AATGCCACTTCGTCCTAATGCACTAGCATGATGTGCTGTTTGGATTCCACACACTTCAAGAGAATTTTAAAATGTAAAACAAATCTCTTTTTCAATCACAGTTAGGAGTAGGTGTAGAGTCACATTTTTTGTTTTTATTATTTTAATGCCTTGCAGATCCATTTATGGATTGAAATAATACAACAGTATTTCAGTTCCTGCATGGTGTAAGTATCACAAGATCAGATCTTTTGTTATTTTGGCTCAAATAAAGAACTTCCTGAGGCACTTAATGTGGCTGTGAAAAATGTAAAATGCAAAGACCATGATATTCAGGTTTGCCCAAACACTGCTATTTTCAGTTTTAAGTTCCTGTGGCTTCCAAACTGTAATAAATAAATAAAATAATAAACTATTTTTTAAAAAAAATTCAGATTAGTGTAATGGGGCTATTCAATGAGTATGATTGTTTGTTGCTGTGAGTGTTAGGATATAGATATTCAGGCCTGCCTGTAAAGGCCTGTACTTTAAGAATTTAGGTGTATTCTTATCACTTGGCTAGTTAGAGGTATAAAAGAAAGAATCAAAATCACTGTCTGCCAATGTAAGGTCCTTCTCTTACTGTGACAGTCTGGGGCCCTGTTCTTAGGCTAAGGCCTTTGGCTAAGCGACAGAGGCAGCCATAAGCTGGGAAGCGACCGGTCACATCCTCACATTCCAAAGTAGTCACATGGAAAGAAGGTGCTATTGGGCTGTTAGGAATACAATCCTGTCCTGATAGTGCCTATCAGCTCCAGAGAAAGGAAGTGCCTAGAAAATGTAAAAGAAAATTTAGTTTGATAGCATCCTGTCTGGCAAGAACTCACTTATCAATACTGGGATGTGAAATCCTCACTTCTGTATTGTCTTGCCATTATAGTTCCCACTTTGCTATTGTTTGTCTGTATAATCTCTGTCTGGTTCTGTGATTGTTCCTGTCTGCTGTATAATTAATTTTGCTGGGTGTAAACTAATTAAGGTGGTGGGATATAATTGGTTACATAATCATGTTACAATATGTTAGGATTGGTTAGTTAAATTTTAGTAGAATGATTGGTTAAGGTATAGCTAAGAATATTACTATATAAATTAGGGGCAAACAGGAAGTAAGTTGGGATTCGGAAATAAGGAAAAGGAACTTGTATTTAAGCTTGCTGGAAGTTCACCCCAATGAACATTGAATTGTTTGCACCTTCGGACTTCGGGTATTGTTGCTCTCTGTTCATGTGAGAAGGACCAGGGAAGTGGGAGAGTGAAGGAATAAGCTCTCTAACAGTGAGGACACGGATTTTCTATTGGCTTTTAATGGCTTGCAATTAAAGGATGTAACCTGTGCACAAGGCATTGTTTGCTGTGGCCTAGACCCCTCCTAGAAACAAGACTTTTAATCTAACAACTATTATCCTTTTATGACATTTTAAATAAGGGCTTGGCTACACTTGCAAGTTACAGCGCAATAAAGGAGCCCCGAGCGCACTAGCTCACCACCCGTTCACACTGGCAAGACACGTGGAGCGCTCTGACTCCACGGCTGCTACCACTCCACCTCGGCGAGTGGAATAACGTTTGCTGCGCCCTCGCTGGACCGCCGCGACGCCAGCGTGAATGAGGCGCTCTGATCAGCCTCCGGAAACATCCCATAATCCGCTTAAGTCAAGCGGCCACTCTTGTCATAGTTTTGAACTTGTTATATGAATGCGGATATGCCCTTTCAAAGCTCCGTTTCTGACAACTGGCTGCTTATCTGCTCCGGGACAAAGGAACCATTACTGAGGAATGCTGCTTGCTTTGAGTGAGAGAGAGGTGAGGAGAGGGAGGTCAGCTGCTGTCTGAACTTTCAAGACAGTATGCTGACAAGCTCTCAGTCCCATTCTCTCTCTCCTTCCACATACACACAACACACTCCCTGTCACACTCCACCCCATCCCCTGCCTTTGAAAAGCACGTTGCAGCCACTTGCATGCTGGGATAGCTATCACAATGCACTGCTCTTTGTGGTGATGCAAGAGTTGCTAATGTGGCCTCGACAGTGCACTTCCAGCTGAGAGTTGTAAACACTCGGCAGCGTTTTCCCTGCTGTAGTCTCCGAAGGTTAATTTAACTCCCAGCGCTCTATAACTGCAAGTGTAGCCATGCCCTCAGTCATTCCAAAGGGAGTGATAAGGCTAAGATTGTCCCACTTTTCCAAAGCTGGATTTTTCAGTATTCATTCCTAAAATAAAACTCCACAAAAGAAGAAACCCAGATGTTGAAATGGGATGGAACCTGCTCCAAGTGAAGTCATTAGCTTTGACTTCTCTGGGAACAAAAATGGCTCTCTATCAGCACCGTAATGGACTAAGATGTATTCTAAGGGCACTTTTTGAGCAGGTGGGTACACAAAAGAGGGAGTGGACACAGAGACTCCTTCCTTCCCTTTGTGCACCTGTTCAAGGGGCAGCCAGAACCCCACACTTCAGATTATGGGCCAGATTTACTGTGACATTTAGGCAGTCAGCAATAACATGGTCACCAAAAACGTTGGTGGTGCAGTAATACTGCTGATAGAGACAGACTGATAGTCTTAGAAATCACTCCATCTGCAAAGAGACTATACGCCCCCCCAGGGATTTGCTTTGACAATGATAATGATTGGGGGCCTAAAGATGCAGAGAGGCATTTTTGTAAACACCACTAAGCAGGTTAGGGGCCTAGCTCCCATGATATAATAGCAGCTTCTTTGGACTCCCACCACATTTAGTCAGTAAGCTCTTTGGAGCAAGAATTGTCTTCATTGGTGTGTCTTGTACAGCTCCAAATAAAGTTGGCATGAAAAGTAAATAACAGCAGTAAAGGATAAAACTGCAATGGGTATGTAAAAGGGGCGCCATGACCTCCCAAGCTCTCCCTCATGAGTGAATGTGGCTCTGCAGTGTCCTGCCTCAGTTTCCCCCTGGATGAGGTAGTGAGGTCCCTGTAACAACTGGATCAAAGAGAAGCCAAAAAGTCTACTTTACAGTAGTATGGCTCCCTTTAATAGCCTTCTGAAATGAAGACTATATATAGTAGTTTAAAGGCTCTTACCTCAGAGCCCAGATAGAACTTCAAAGTCCCCAAAACAAAAGTATCCAGGTTCAAGCCGCAGGGGGGTAGCCGTGTTAGTCTGTATCCACAAAAACAGCGAGGAGTCCGGTGGCAGCTTAAAGACTAACAGATTTATTTGGCCATAAGCTTTCGTGGGTAAAAAACCCTCTTCTTCACATGCATCTGAAGAAGAGGGTTTTTTACCCAGGAAAGCTTATGGCCAAATAAATCTGTTAGTCTCTAAGCTGCCACCGGACTCCTCGCTGTTTTTCAGGTTCAAGGAGCAGCTCCTTCTGCTGTCAGGCCTTAGGCTTGTCTGCTGCCTGGAGAGCTCTGCTGTCTTCCCCTGCTTGCTCAGCGTCCTTCCCAGGCCTCCCCGCCGCAGAGCGAGGGATCCCCCGGGCGCCCCCCCCCCGCCGCCGGAGAGCGAGGGATCCCCCGGGCGCCCCCCCCGCCGGAGAGCGAGGGATCCCCCGGGAGCCCCCCCCGCCGCAGAGCGAGGGATCCCCCGGGAGCCCCCCCCCGCCGCAGAGCGAGGGATCCCCCGGGAGCCCCCCCCCGCCGGAGAGCGAGGGATCCCCCGGGCGCCCCCCCCGCCGGAGAGCGAGGGATCCCCGGGCGCCCCCCGCCGCCGGAGAGCGAGGGATCCCCCGGGCGCCCCCCCCGCCGCCGGAGAGCGAGGGATCCCCGGGCACCCCCCCGCCACCGGAGAGCGAGGGATCCCCGGACGCCCCCCCCGCCGGAGAGCGAGGGATCCCCCGGGCACCCCCGCCCCCCGCCGGAGAGCGAGGGATCCCCCGGGCACCCCCGCCCCCCGCCGGAGAGCGAGGGATCCCCGGGCGCCCCCCCCGCCGCAGAGCGAGGGATCCCCCGGGCGCCCCCCCCGCCGGAGAGCGAGGGATCCCCCGGGCGCCCCCCCCCGCCGCCGCAGAGCGAGGGATCCCCGGGCGCCCCCCGCCACCGGAGAGCGAGGGATCCCCCGGGCGCCCCCCCCCGCCGCCGGAGAGCGAGGGATCCCCCGGGCGCCCCCCCCGCCGGAGAGCGAGGGATCCCCGGGCACCCCCGCCCCCCGCCGGAGAGCGAGGGATCCCCGGGCGCCCCTCCCCGCCGGAGAGCGAGGGATCCCCGGGCGCCCCCCCGCCGGAGAGCGAGGGATCCCCGGGCGCCCCCCCGCCGGAGAGCGAGGGATCCCCCGGGCACCCCCGCCCCCCCCGCCGGAGAGCGAGGGATCCCCGGGCGCCCCCCGCCGCAGAGCGAGGGATCCCCCGGGCGCCCCCCCCGCCGGAGAGCGAGGGATCCCCCGGGCGCCCCCCCGCGGGAGAGCGAGGGATCCCCCGGGCGCCCCCCCGCCGCCGGAGAGCGAGGGATCCCCGGGCGCCCCCCCGCCGGAGAGCGAGGGATCCCCCGGGCGCCCCCCCGCCGCAGAGCGAGGGATCCCCCGGGCGCCCCCCCCCGCCGCAGAGCGAGGGATCCCCCGGGCGCCCCCCCGCCGCAGAGCGAGGGATCCCCCGGGCGCCCCCCCCGCCGCAGAGCGAGGGATCCCCCGGGCGCCCCCCCCGCCGGAGAGCGAGGGATCCCCCGGGCGCCCCCCCCCGCCGGAGAGCGAGGGATCCCCCAAAGCCCGGCTCGAGAACGGGGCCCGCGAGCCCGGGCGCGGCGCCGCCTTTGGAACGCACGCGCGGCAGGACCGAGCCACTACGGAACGCCGCGGGGGGCGTGTCGGCGACAGGAGACGGAGCGAGCCGCCCGACAGCGCGCAAGCGCGGCCGCGGCTCTGGGTGGGAGGGGCCACGCTCCCAGGCCGGGGCTGAGAGCGCGGCCTCGACCGGAAGAGGCGGGGCAGGGGCTGGCTTGAGAGGGGCGGGGGCCGGTTTGGGAGCGCGACCGGAACCGGAACCGCGACCGCGCGGAGTCACGTGCCCGAGCTAAGGTGGCTGCCGCCCTGTAGCGCCGCGCTCGCGCCCCGCCGCGCGGGCTCCTGGGGCTCCTCCCGCCCCCGCTCCGGGCCGCGAGCCGGCGGCGCCTGTCGGGCCCTGAGAGCCCCGTCCCCGGTGTGCAGCGGCGGCCGCCGGGCCGGGGCTGAGCCCGCTGGCGGCGGCGGCGGCGGGAGCATGAACCCGGAGAAGGATTTCTCGCCCCTGGCGCCCAGCGTGGTGCGGGCCCTGAACGACAAGCTCTACGAGAAGCGGAAGGTGGCGGCGCTGGAGATCGAGAAGTGAGAGCCGGGCGTGAGCGGGGCCTGGGGCCGGGCTGGACCGCCAGCCTGCGCGGGGCTCCGGGGCAGCCGGGCCCTCGGGAGCCGGCCCGCAGGGGGGTCTGTGCGGCTAACCTTCAGGGCGCCAAGTGGCGGCAGGAGTGAGGATTTCAGACCGGCTGGAGCTGTGGTTAAAGCCGGGCGCTCAAACTTCAGTGTAGCTCAAGCCCCTTCTGACAACAGCAATTGCTTCACCTCCCCGGGGGAGGACGCCAAAGCCTGAGCCCAAGCCCCAGTGCTTGGGATGGGGGGCCGAGGGCTTCAGTCCCGGGGGGGGTAACGTGAGCCCTGCCCCCCGGGGCTGAGGGCAAAGCCCCAGGCCCTAGCAAGTCTGACCCCAGCCCTGGCAAAACCATTAAAACGGTGTTGTGACCCACTTTGCGGCTGTGACCCACAGTTTGAGAACCACCAAGTTAAAGGACAGAGCTGTGTAAAACCTGACCCGGAAACTCCTGTCTTAACAGTATGTTCAGCATCCTCCTGAAATTCAGTGACTCTAAAGCGGGGGTTGGCAACCCTTCAGAAGTGGGGTGCTGAGTCTTCATTTATTCACTCTAATTTAAGGTTTCGCGTGCCAGTAATACATTTTAGCATTTTTAGAAGGTCTCTTTCTATAAGGCTATATAATATATAACTAAACTATTGTATGTAAAGTAAATAAGGTTTTTAAAATGTTTAAGAAGCTTTGTTTAAAATTAAATTAAAATGCAGAACCCCCCGGACCGGTGGCCAGGACCCGGGCAGGGTGACTGCCACTGAAATCAGCTTGTGCACTGCCTTTGGCATGCGTGCCATAGGTTGCCTACCCCTGCTCTAAACACAAAAGCATTTTCGGGAGCTTGAAACTAACCAAACAGTAATGCTCAAGTTTCACTGTTGGAACATGGGTGGAGTGCTCAAATCAGAGCATCATGGGTGAAAAATCAGTTACATTACATAACTGGAGATTCAAAACCATAAAACCTCTAGTGATGCAATAAAGAATTTATTGCTCTGCTTGTCTTTAAATCGCTCATCAGTGTAAGGTACTGTGCAATGGAAACCAGAGGACACTTTTGCTTCTTGCACGGAAATGGAAATTTGTCTAGCTCTCTAAGTATTGATGTGTTCCTTTTCCATAGTGCACATTTGACAGGAAATTAAACTCTCTTAATCTTTAGGGTGCTGGGGGGGCGTGTTATAGACATTTCTTATTGTTTTTTGGCTGAGATCTTATAGGATGGTAACATGTTAAGTGCAGATGGTTACTTTGGTTCTAATTTTGTGCAGTCGTCTTTACTTCTCTGCCCACTCTACTTATTCCAGTATAAGCTTTCTTTGTGCTCTCACATATGCCTTCACTCCCCACCCCTAAGGCAGCATCATACCCTTTTCGCTCACTTTCTCGACCCTTCCAAGCAGTTGCAGTGTGTGGGATTTGATATCCCAGGCCTAGGTGGTAATCTTCCAAAGACTTGATTACAGTAGCATGCTTTGTAATTCAGGACCACCACAATTTCCACCAGTGGTGAAGTGCGGCTCTGAAGCCCGTGTACTACAGAGGTAGCCAATGCTGGCAGGGCTGAGCATTGTCAATATCAAGTGTCTAGCAGCAACGCTGAAGAGAGCTCAGAAACCACTTTAAGTGGGTTGTCAGAATCTAGCATGTTTAAGGACAGAAGGAGGCCTCAAAAGCTATGTCTTGCCGCTGGGGGAATGCTGCTCAACTGTACAATGCAGAAATTAATGTTGTGTGTGCAGAATTTCCTCCGCCCCAGAAATAGGCTGCAGAGCTGTTGGCTGCCACTAGGAGCTGCTGGACCCAACAGAGCCCAACTCACAATAGAAGACAAGGCGAGGGGGAGGGAAACAGGAGGATTCCCAGCAGCTGCAGTTCCTAGTATGGCCTGAAGGAAGGTGGTGGTGGCATGCAGGAAACTCTGGATCTCGGGGGGGGGGGGGGTAGGTAGAGGGTGTGAGTGTCTGGGCTAGGCTGGGCTGTGGCTGGTCTCTGGGGATGAGGGGGTATGAGTTTCTGTTCCTGCGGGGCTTCAGCTGGGCTCGGGGCTGGGGGGGGGGGGGGATGTGAGTGGCTGGGCTCAGGGGAAGGCCCTATGGCTGAGCTCTGGGAAGGGGTGAGAGTGGCTGGCCCACCGGTTGGGCTTGGGGGAGGGGGAAGGGCAGAGAAACAGGAACTGGGTTTTCACGGGGATTTCTTTAATTTTCTACTCCTGTTACAGACATACTTGCTGAGAGGTGTTTTGAAATAAATTACCACAATAATTGAAACTGGTGTGATTATATAGTGTTATTGACCAATAACATTTTCAGAATTTTACAGGATTTTTAATTTTTTGATGCAAAATTCCCCCAGGGGTAAAATCTAGATCAGTCCTCCCTGCGATAGCATTTGTACTTCACAGGATGTTTTTAATGTATAAAATCGTGTCTGACTCACCTCTTTATCCCTTTTGATAATAGTTGCTACTAGCACTGCTCTGAGTATCTTAACTCTGCACTGGTCATCTCTGACACATGTTGAATTGGAGTTGTCATGAACTGGAGCTGGGGCTTTGTCTACACTGTCATTTACATCAGTGTAACTTATGTCGCTCAGGTGTGTGAATAAGCCACACCCCTTCCTCCCAGTGACAGACTTAAGTGTCGATGTGGACAACGCTAAATATCAGTGGGAGAGCTCCAGCCGACCGAGCTACTGTTGCTCCTGCTCGTTGGGGGTGCATTAATTATGTTGACAGAGCTCAGCTTAGAGTGGCTACACCAGAGAGCTAACAGTGGTGCAGTTGCATCTGTGCAAGTTGTAAGCTCTAGTGTAGCCATACTTAAGTGTAAGGTGGTTTCTTTTCTTTTTTTTGTGCTGCTGTATTATGAATAAAGAATCAGGGGGTTGCTGTTTTAGTCTGTATCCACAAAAACAACAAGGAGTCCGGTGGCACCTTAAAGGCTAACAGATTTATTTGGGCATAAGCTTTCATGGGTAAAAACCCACTTCCATGCATCTGAAGAAGTGGCTTTTTACCCACGAAAGCTTATGCCCAAATAAATCTGTTAGCCTTTAAGGTGCCACTGGACTCCTTCTTCTTTTTATGAATAGAGAAGGCCCTGCAAGGTTTGCAATCCTCCTCTTTCCCCACCGCCAAATATTTTCCCTTTTTTTTTTTTGCATTAGAAATTCATGTTTTTTCTGCCACAAGGCTCTATCCTGAAAAGTAGTGAAACTGGCATCTCAAGTGTCGAGTAAAAGTTGAACTGAGAGGATGGGATTTCTAGACAGATTGCTTACTTCAAACTATTTTATCAGGAATACTTAATTGACAGGAAACCTTTAAGACTCTACTAAAGATTGAACAGCTCTGCCCCCTTCAAATAAAAGGTCTCAATAAATCTGGCAGGGGGACCCAAAGAAATTCCATTAGCACAGCAGGGACAGCCCAGCTAATGGCTATCAACAGGCTCGGCAGAAATCAATTTTTAAATAATTTTGACAGATCTGTTTATTTTTAGGCAGCTTTTTCCATTTTAGTTTATTTAAATGTGGGAATTTATAGTTGTGGGAAATTATGGGGGATCAGAAAGTGGGGAGGGGCAGACAATAATTATTTAATGAGCGGAGACATTGAGATTCCAAAAGTTAAAGCTTTATAACCAATAAATCACAAACTTTCATAGATTCTTAGGTCAGAAGGGTCACCTAGTCTGATCACCTAGTCTGACCTGTATAGCACAGGCCAGTAAATTTCTCCAAAATATGCCCTAGCCATTATCTTTTAGAAAAACATCCAATCTTGGTTTAAAAATTGTCAGTAATAGAGAATCCACCACGACCCTTGCTACATTGTTTCAATGGTTAATTACTCTCAGGATTAAACATTTGTGCCTTGTTTCCAGTCTGAATTTGTCTAGCTTCAACTTCCAGCCATTGGATCATGTTAGATCTTTCCCTGCTAGATTGCAGAGCTCATTATTGAATATTTGTTCCTCATTTAGGTACTTTTAGGCTGTAATCAAATCACCCATGAACCTTCTGTTTGCTAAGCTAAATAGATTAAACTCCTTGAGTCTGTCACTATAAAAGTTGTTTTCTGATCCCTTAATCATTCTTGTGGCTCTTCACTGAACCCTGTCCAATTTGTCAACATCCTTTTTGAGCTGTGGACACCAGAACTGGACACAGTAGTCTAGTAGCGTTCGTACCAGTGCCAAATAGAGATTAATATAACCTCTCTACTTGCAGTTGAAATTCCCGTTTATGAATCATAAGATTGACTATACTGGGTCAGACCAGTGATCTGTCTAGCCCACTACCCTGTCTTCTAACAGTGGCCAGTACCAGATGCTTCAGAGGGAATGAAGAAAACAGGGAATGGATCACTCGAAATTGCCCTGTCATCCACTCCCAGCTTCTGGAGGTTTAGGGACACTGAGTATGTGGAGTTGCATCCTTGATCATTAAAATATGATTTAGTCAGGGATTCTGTGACTTCACCGGACCCCTGTGACTGCTTTGGCTTCAGCTGTTAGCAGCAGAGACTGCAGCTGTGCCCCCTCTCCCCCATGGCAGTGGGGTTCAGGCTTTCAGTCCCCTGTCCCCCCGGGAGAGGGGCTCCAATTGTCATTCCTCCACCCACTCTCCAGCCCTGCCCCCTGGTTAAGTCACAAAGTCCACGGTCTCCTGTGAATTTTTGTTTATTGCCCATGACCTGTCCGTGACTTTTACTAAAAATAACCGTGACAAAAACGTAAGCTTACTGATCATATTGGCTAATAGCCATTGATGGATCCATGAACTTATGTAATTCTTTTTTGAACCCAGTTGTACTTTGGATGAGTTCCACAGGTTGACTGTGCATTGTGTGAGGAAGTACGTACTTTGGTTTGTTTTTAAACCTGCTGCCTATTAATTTCATTGGGTGACCCCTAATTCATGTGTTATGTAAAGAGGTAAATAACACTTCCCTATT